GAATCTCCTATATTTTTGTAACATCCCTGCCCTGGCAATAATTTGACTGCTACTCGTGGCAGTCAAAACACATGGAGACCTGCTAGGTCCCAACAGTAAGTCACTGTAGAGACTGGAGATCAAGAAGTTGGGGAGAGCAGGTCAATCAAAGTCCTGTTGAGACTGCAGGAAAAATGTTAATTTGAATCTGAAATCAGTGCCCCAAACTTCGACTCAAACCCCATGTGCAATGTGTTCACAATGGATACACACAGTATAAAAGAGGAGTCTCGGTAGATATGTGCCTATGGCCACAGAGTTCCAATGTCTGCAACGTTGTACAGCAATTTGATGAGGTGGATGGGTTCCTGACACAATCTGAGAGGCCTAGGATGTTTCCCTTTCCTACTCAGTGAGATGTTGCCAGGATCCAGCCACCTAGCTCATGCAATTGCAAGAAGCAATTCAGAAACAAGGCCTAATTGTGCCATCTGAACTCCATGAGGAAAATATTTAGTGAGTTGAATGAGCACTGGGTTCCCTATGGGAAACAGGAACTGAGAAGATAATCTAATAGTCTGAAAGCTTGAGGTGAATAAATCCATAAGGCATCTATGGTGCTTCCTCCCACTTTGGACTTTTAGGTGCACAAAACGTTCCTCTCTCCTTTGACACCTACGGCTTCCACTGCAGGAAACTTTTGATCATTTTACTCAAGTCTGGATCTGGTACCTGAACTAAAAGTGTGGATTTTCATTCTGTGTCACTAATCTGACTCATCACTGGGCTGTTATCACAAAGGGGAACAAAAGAGATGAAAATAAAAAATACCTCTTAGAGGAACATGCAGTAATCACCTGAAGGTCATGCAAAGTACACTGGGCTTACGCAGTAGTGCATGTTGAACTGATTCATTAATCAAAACTCCTACTGTATTCACAAAGAATAACTGACATTAGCAGAACTATGGTACTTGGCAATCCAATATTAACCTTTCTGTGTAATTACATCTGAGGTTTAAAGTCAGAAAGTAAGCCTTTGTTTATTCAGTGGCAAAAAAAAAAGTCTCCTTTATTAAATAAAGCTAACTTTTTAAAGTAATCTACAGGGCCCTTTTGAATTTTAGCCAGGCAATAAATCCTGCCTACCCCCAGAATGTCACGTTTTTGATCTGTGAGGGGACAATGCCAAACCCTGAAATGGAGCAACAATGAATTCCACTCTGGAGGAATTCTGATGGGAACTAGTAAATGAAGCCTGGAAGAAGGGCTTAAACATATGAGCACCGCATTTTCCTGGAACCTTTTTTGGGGGGTGGAAACTTACTAAATATTTGTTGAAAATGCAAAAAAGTTGAAGGCAACTGAAAAGCAATAGTAAGGACTTGAATTATATATTTGAAAAGAAGTTAGGGATGTTTAGTCATTAAAACTCCTCTGCCATGAATCCTACAAAAAACCTGATCTTGGTTGCTATCTCATGCTCTCCCCATATGTCCGCTCTAGTCATCTGTTTTCCCTTCTCTTATGCATACAACGTAAGGTCTTTGGAGCACTTGCTTTCTTTCTGTTCTGTTTGTACAGTTCCTAGCAAAATGGAACTTTGGTCCATGAATGGGACTCTTAAATGCAAGTGCAATACAAATAAAACTGATAATCTCCAAGGGTTAATCACAGAATCATAGAATAATAGGACTGGAAGGGACCTCGAGAGGTCATCGAGTCCAGCCCCCCGCCCTCAAGGCAGGATCAAGCTCCGTCTACACCATCCCTGACAGATGTCTATCTAACCTGTTCTTAAATATCTCCAGAGAGGGAGATTCCACCACCTCCCTTGGCAATTTATTCCAATATTTGACCACCCTGACAGTTAGGAATGTTTTCCTAATGTCCAATCTAAACCTCCCCTGCTGCACTTTAAGCCCATTACTCCATGTCCTGTCCTCAGAAACCAAGAGGAACAAATTTTCTCCTTCCTCCTTGTGACACCCTTTTAGATATTTGAAAACCACTATCATGTCCCCCCTTAATCTTCTTTTTTCCAAACTAAACAAGCCCAGTTCATGAAGCCTGGCTTCATAGGCTTCTCTAGACCTTTAATCATTCTTGTCGCTCTTCTCTGTACCCTTTCCAATTTCTCCACATCTTTCTTGAAATGTGGCGCCCAGAACTGGACACAGTACTCCAGCTGAGGCCTAACTAGCGCAGAGTAGAGCGGCAGAATGACTTCACGAGTTTTGCTTACAACACACCTGTTAATACAACCTAGAATCATATTTGCTTTTTTTGCAACAGCATCACACTGTTGACTCATATTCAACTTGTGGTCCACTATGACCCCTAGATCCCTTTCCGCCATGCTCCTTCCTAGACAGTCGCTTCCCATCTTGTATGTATGGAACTGATTGTTCCTTCCTAAGTGGAGCACTTTGCATTTCTCTCTATTAAACCTCATCCTGTTTACCTCCGACCATTTCTCTAACTTGCTAAGGTCATTTTGAATTATGTCCCTATCCTCCAAAGAAGTCGCAACCCCACCCAGTTTGGTATCATCTGCAAACTTAATAAGAGTACTCTCTATCCCAATATCTACATCATTGATGAAGATATTGAACAGTACGGGTCCCAAAACAGACCCTTGAGGAACTCCACTTGTTATCCCTTTCCAGCAGGATTTAGAACCGTTAACAACAACTCTCTGACTACGGTTATCCAGCCAATTATGCACCCACCTTATCGTGGCCCTATCTAAGTTATATTTGCCTAGTTTATCAATAAGAATATCATGCGAGACCGTATCAAATGCCTTACTAAAGTCTAGGTATATGACATCCACCGCTTCTCCCTTATCCACAAGGCTCGTTATCTTATCAAAGAAAGCTATCAGATTAGTTTGGCATGACTTGTTCTTCACAAACCCATGCTGGCTATTCCCTATCACTTTATTACCTTCCAAGTGTTTGCATATGATTTCCTTAATTACCTGCTCCATTATCTTCCCTGGGACAGACGTTAAACTGACCGGTCTATAATTTCCTGGGTTGTTCTTATTCCCCTTTTTATAGATGGGCACAATATTTGCCCTTTTCCAGTCTTCTGGAATCTCCCCTGTCTGCCATGATTTTTCAAAGATCATAGCTAAAGGCTCAGATACCTCCTCTATCAGCTCCTTGAGTATCCTGGGATGCATTTCATCAGGACCTGGTGACTTGCTGACATCTAACTTTCCTAAGTGATTTTTAACTTGTTCTTTGTGTATCCTATCTTCTAAACTTACCCTCTCTCTGCTTGTATTCACTACGTTAGGCACACCTCCAGACTTCTCGGTGAAGACCGAAACAAAGAAGTCATTGAGCATCTCCGCCATTTCCAAGTTCCCTGTTACTGCTTCTCCCTCCTCACTAAGCAGTGGGCCTACCCTGTCCTTGGTCTTCCTCTTGCTTTTAATGTATTTATAAAAGGTCTTCTTGTTTCCCTTTATGCCTGTAGCTAGTTTGATCTCATTTTGTGCCTTTGCCTTTCTAATCTTGCCCCTGCATTCCCGTGTTGCTTGCCTATATTCATCCTTTGTTAGTTGTCCTAGTTTCCATTTTTTATATGACTCCTTTTTTATTTTGAGATTAGTTCCTGCCATCCTTCCTCATGATGAGGAATAACTTATTGTTATAGAAGTCACATTGAATGAATGGGTCGACTTGAAACATAATGCATTACTCAATTCTGAACAAATGTGGTGTTTAGCCTTAAATCACACTTTTTACTGGAGGTATATTTTGTAGGAACAGATAGCAAGAACTGGAGATGTCATGGAGACAGTGATTTCCAACAGGGGGCTAAAGTACAGTTTGTCTCCTCCCCTCACTATAAGGGGTCTTGTCCCAGGTCAACATTCTCTCTGAAAAGCTTCTTTTTTATCCTCTTCACATCCCATAGATTTTCTTTCCCTTAATCATTAACAAACACGATCACCTCAAAAGTGTCTTTCTTCTCTCCCCCACAGGGCTATGATTGCTTTAATAGTCCTTTATTAGCTGCTCATCACTGACAAGATATTTTCTTCCCTTTCCTGCATTCGAAGAAACATAATTAACCTGGATATTCTCCTCCCTCTCCTCCCTTGGCTTATAATGGGTTGAAATACAGGCAGTCCCCGGGTTACGTACAAGATAGGGACTGTAGGTTTGTTCTTAAGTTGAATCTGTATGTAAGTCGGAACTGGCGTCCAGATTCAGCCGCTGCTGAAACTGACCAGCGGCTGACTACAAAAGGTAGAAGGGAGACCACCACAATTGAGGTTATGGATTTCAGGAAGGCAGATTTTGATAAGCTCAGAGAACTTGTAGGTAAGGTCCCATGGGAAGCAAGAAGTATGGAAGGGAAAGGAATACAGGAAAGAATTGGGCACATTCAAAGGAAGATTGAAGAAAATTAAAAAGAAAAAAAAATAGAACTAACATGCTGTTTGCTGCCATTTATCTGTACATATCTCGGTCCTGTCTTTGGATTAAGTACTTCGGGGCAGGGACTGCATACTACTGTGTCTTGGTACAGTGAATTGTACAATGAGCCTTACTCTTATTTATCCATGGTAATAAACATTACTACAATATTTTTAGATAGGGATTGTTCATTTCATTTTATTTTAAATGTATTTCTCCTGTAGGAAAGAATTGATCCAAGCTGTTCTGTGCCCATCGTCGGTCAGTGACTGGCCCAGTGTTTATAGGCAGTCCCCGAGTTACGCGGATCCGACTTATGTTGGATCCGCAGTTACAAACGGGGCCCGTCTCCCTGGTCTCCAGCAGACCAGGGAGAGGAAGCAAAGCGGCGGAGCACGCAGGCAGCGGACAGCCCAGACGCGTCTGGGCTGTCCGCTGCCTGCGTGCTCCGCCGCTTTGCTTCCTCTCCCTGGTCTGCTGGAGACCAGGGAGACGGGCCCCGTTTGTAACTGCGGATCCAACATAAGTCGGATCCGCGTAACTCGGGGACTGCCTATAAACACTGGGCCAGTCACTGACCGACGATGGGCACAGAACAGCTTGGATCAATTCTTTCCTACAGGAGAAATACATTTAAAATAAAATGAAATGAACAATCCCTATCTAAAAATATTGTAGTAATGTTTATTACCATGGATAAATAAGAGTAAGGCTCATTGTACAATTCACTGTACCAAGACACAGTAGTATGCAGTCCCTGCCCCGAAGTACTTAATCCAAAGACAGGACCGAGATATGTACAGATAAATGGCAGCAAACAGCATGTTAGTTCTATTTTTTTTTCTTTTTAATTTTCTTCAATCTTCCTTTGAATGTGCCCAATTCTTTCCTGTATTCCTTTCCCTTCCATACTTCTAGTCTCTCTTTCCAAGTGGTGTCCATTCATAAATACTCATTGTTTATAATGTCCCCTTTGAGAAATCATGCCATCCAGACAGCACTGTATTCCTTTTCTTTCAGTGACACTAATGTTGTCCTGACGGAAACCAGACAGATTTACAGTATTAATATGTTGCTTTTTCAGGAAAAACAATCATATGCTTTTCCAGTGTTGTAGATGCATTATTGAAAAAAATCACCAACATCTTCATTTGCTGCATAAGGTCACAGTGCCACCAACAGAGTCAGTGTAGCTTTGATATCTTTCCAGTGTCAGTTGCCTATTCGCTTCAGGGGTCAGTCTCAGCTCCTCTGTGTTGTCCTCTGTAGCTTTTGGTTTCTGTGACTGCAAGACAGGGTGAGACTGTGAGACCTGTGTTCTTTTAGATATGGCAAATGCTGGCTCCTTTTTGAAGGTGCTTTTTGGAACAGAGTTTTATTGCATAGATAATTCTCTTTACAAATCTGAAACAAGATGAAAAAGATTATATATAGTATTAGATAATATTTCCGTAATAATAATGATACCCGGCTGCTACATAGCACTCCTCACTAGATCTGCAAGTACCTAAAAAGGAGGGAAAATTTTATAGATGGGGAAATTGAAGTGAGGTAAGGACAGAAATCACTTAACATTTTTTCAAAAAAATCATGTTTTTCAACAATCTAGCCATCAGATAGTTATGCTCCCTGCATCTATAGCATATGTGGTAGATGAAGAGACTGAGGCAGCTGGAAAAACTTACATGAAAGGGCCCTTCAAAGTAGTACAGTAAATATTTCTAGCAACACTAACACTGGCACAGAAACATGGAGAAATTTGGATTTTGCACTATTGTGACTGTTAGCAGCTTTTAATTGTTCAGTTTCCACGTTTTAACCTTTTCTTCTGTTGGTAATAGAGATGCCAATGTGTAGTCGACTACATGATTAACTGAGAAAACTCAGCTTATCAGTTAATCTTTCTTACTACATGCACTCCCCCACCCTATGCTGCCTCTGTATTAGAGGCAGCAAGGTTGGGGAGAGCAGGAGCCAGTGCCTGTGAGGAGCTGGCTTTAAACAGGCTCCCTACGAGCACTGGATCCACCAGTCCCCACACCCCCATGATGCTGCCTCTGATAGAGAAGCAGCAGCATGGAGGGTGAGAGGGTAGGCTTTCAAGCAAGGTCCCTGCGTGTGCCATCTCTGCAGATTTGCCTTCCCCCCTTTCTGCCTCCTAAAGAGGCAGCAGCACAGGGGAGGCAAAGGAGGGGGGTCCGTGGCAAGAAATGTTAGCAGTTAGACAGCTGGTCTGCATGGAGAGCTGGTTTTAAACTGCCTGATACAGAGACAACAGTGCGGAGTGGCCTGGGACTCCCCAGGAGTGTGGCCAGTGCACACTGGCTGCTGGCCCTGCCCCTGGGTACTATTGAATAGGCATGTAACTGCTAAAATTTCATGCAGTTATACAACTGTTCAATTACACAGTAGCTGACATCCCTAACTGGTAATGGTAAATGGCTCGTGATTGTTCCTAAGGTATGAATTGAGAACCTGATGAGAAGTAGACCACTTTAACTATTCTCCATTTATTTTAGTTTGCAGGTGGTCATGCACAAATAAATCACACAAAGCTTCTTTGGTTCTATTGGACTTGATTCTCATTTACACTAAGACCGCTTTTCTAGAGCAGTGTAAAGTGACCTTAATGTAAACTCTGTTTACTCCCATTTTCACACTCTCAAGCGCTGCTTTTGCAGTGTAAGGAGGCCATTGTATAAATAAAATAAGGCTTGTGTTATAATAGAGTAGATTATTCATGTGTGAGATATGTTATATATAAAGGCCATTGTATAAGGTGGTAAAGACCATGTTGAACATCCACATTTTAATTGGAGCTTTATTTTATTTATTTATTTTTTAAGGAGATGCTTAATTATGTGGTTGGGAGGTGATTGTGAAGCTGTGAAATCATGGAGAACAATGGGAACTGCTGCCTGGGAGCATTAAAATGCGAGTAAACCTAGTTTACACCACTCTAGTAAAGTGGTCTTAGTGTACATCAGAATCAAGCCCAATAGAACCAAAGAAGCTTTGTATATTATAACCCTGTGCATGAGCACTTGCAAGCACTAAAATATATTGAGAATGGTTAACGCTGGTTTACACCTCATGCCACGTGTATGGGGCAAGTAAAGAATGTTATTCCTTATAGTAGTCCTGTCATATGAAACGTAGGGAGCTTGCTGAAAACAATGCGTCTGCATATCATGAACAGTGTGACAACGAAGTTTAGGGCTATTTTGTTCTTTTTGTCAGTGCAGCTAAACACAACTATAACTTTTGCTTTGCCTAAAGCAAACAAGGGCCTTGATCCGCTGAACATGAGACATTAATTTCTCCCAGCAGAGCTTGCTGTCTGTCAGTCACAGCAACACCTATACTCTCTTTCACCGTAGTAATTATTGATACTTCTTCTCTACTGCATACATACATATACACCACTTTTATAGAACGAGCCAGTTCCAAGCCTTGATTAAAAAAACTCTCCTCACAGATGAGAAAAGAATGGCTGAATGGCTGTGTGATAGGATTTACCACCATTATAAAACAAGTACGACCTGGACCCTTTCTACCTTGATGTCAAATACAGTGCTGAGAAGCTCTGCAAATGTGCCAATGACTTCATCTGTAGATTTGGATAGTGATTCCTTCAAATTATGTAGCCACAGGCCATCAGGTATTTGTTCTAAGTTCAGATGGAAAGCTGTAGTCATGCCAGCTCCCTGTGACAGGATGGATTAAGCCTGTTAAATATTTGGCAGATAGATACTTAAAGCCCTATCCATGAATACTGCAAACCAAAACCAAAAGGGGAATGCCTAGAATGAATCAAAATTCCCCTAGCGATGGGATAGATTGGCAATACAGAAGCCCACATGCTTTTCTGTCCCCTAAGAACTCTTTGGTTTGTGAAAGGAAGTGTATTAATTGAAAGAGAAGTGCTTCCCTGCAGCGAAAAGGATTATCTTTAAAGATTCTCCACCTCCTAAGAGGCTTGCTTCATTAGCAATCTTTTTTTGTCACTAGTAAGCTGACACTGCATGGAACTAATCCTTCAAGCTCTGAATATGAGTTAGAGATCAGGAATCTGAGTTGGGCAGTAGTTGACCAAAATAGTACTTTTTATGCTTGCAGTGGTATCAAGCTTGATGGTTTTCATTCCTGAGAAATGCATCATCTCTTCTGTTCAGATCTGGTCTGGTATCTGACAGTTAATTTTTATGAAAACAGAAGGACAAATCTATCTGCCAAAAATCAGTGGGATTTTTTTTCAATTGGTATCTTAATATATTTAGCAAAGTCCATATAGACACACAGGTTTCATGTGTGTACTTCCCATAGATCTAATGCTCTGTCCTTTTGGTGAGTATGAAAGATCTTTACCCTTATTTTCCCCACTTTTCATTACTACTCTACTTATCAGGTGCACAAGTCCTAGGCTCCAGCCACTATCCTCCCTGAAGGATTGTGGAATCCATTGCTCCTCCTTAATGAATAAAATGAAGAGTTATTGATTTGCTACATAAACCCATCCTCCTGTCCCAAGTTCAAAGTGTGCTCCTTTTTGAGTAGCTCAGTCTGAACTAAAGTACTAGATCATACTTCCCTAAGGGTTCATCTACACTGCACACTTATTTCAAAATAAGCTATTCTGGAAGAAATACTCTGAAATAGCTTATTTCAAAAGAGCGTGTTTACACTACAGGGAAGCCTCAAAATTAGTCCGAGGCAGGCTTTCCTAATGTGGATGTGCTACTTCGATTTAGAGGCCCAAGAGGCACTGGGGAGTAATTACTTTGAATGGCCCTGGGGAGGAGCTATTTTGAAATAGCAGCAGTGGAGCGTCTACACATGCCTTATTTCGAAATAGCTATTTCAGAATAGGCGTTATTCCTCATGGAATGAAGTTTACAGAAGTTGGAATAAGCCATCTGTTATTTCAAATTTATTTCAAAGTAAAGGAATTGCCATGTAGACACTCGCATTGTTATTTTGAAATAACTGTGCTGTGTAAACGCACCTTAATTGAGCCAAACGGGGCACTAAAATCAAGTCAATGCACATTTATATCCTACACATTTTACAAACTCGACTACTTGAATACAGGGCCGGCTCAAGCCATTCTTGCAGCCCCGGGCAGCGGGCACGTGATGCATGTGTGGCTCTGCCCCCGGGCACATGGCGCATGCGCGGCCCTACCCCCTGGTGCACTGCGCCTCTTACAGCTGCAGTCGGGCACGTGGCACCTGATTGCAGCTCTAAAGGGTGCCGCACAGCCCCGGGCACCTGATGGCAGCTCTAAGGGATGCTGTGCGGCCGGGCGCGCAGCACCCCTTACAGCTGCCATCAGATGCCCCCCATAGGTTGGCGCCCCATGCAGCTGCCCAGCTAGCCCCTCCCTTAATCCAGCCCTGATTGAATATTCTGCATATAGTAACTGTGTTCATGCAACCCTTCCAGAATTTCAGTTGCACTCAAGAAGATCCATGTGAGCATCATACTAAGAACTCAGTTCTGCAGAGCAGTAAATGCCTCTGGGGAAAAAGTGAGCAGAATTGAGTTCTATGCAATATGTTTTTTTAATATATTCATTTTAACAGTGTTCTGTGCTTTCATTACATTCTTTGCAAGGCAAATTATCAGTGTTTCAGTCTTTAGGCCCCCCGACAGGATTGCTGCTTTGAAAAAAATTGATGCTGTCATGCTTTTGTTTAGTTTCTTTAAAAATGGTAAAAATATATTTTATGTTCATATTGAAACAGAATAACAAACACATACATGATTTTTCCGATTAAGAACAATTGTAATGGACTATGTTGCTAATGACCAAGTAGCACTAAAAGAAAATGAACAAAAAGCTGTAAACAAAAAAGGAAAGCAACAGATGTAGAAATAGGTAAATAAGATACTCCTATCAGAAGCTGTGTGCCAAAATTAAAGCTTAAGCAGTATTTATAAAATGATGTTTTAGGGAAACTACACAGCTTTATAGTTGTGGTTATATGAAAGTGCTCCATGTGAAAACTTTTTTTTTCCTACTTGCAAAATTCTATTTTATTTGAGATTCATTGAAATCTCTTTTAATTTAAAAAACAACATTTTATTTTTAAAATGTATTTCAGATGTCATCTTCTTTCAGTGAACTAAGTGCTCTACTGTATGGAGCTGGCTAAATATGAAAAATAGGGTTATTCTGTAATATTCCAGGATTATGTCAGCCCTGTAAGGAAACATAATGCTGCCAAAACATAACAAAAATGTGTTGGGCGGGTTGCCTCAGGCTGGCTATTGGCTGGATATAGAACTTTTGGAGTCTTGATATCCAAAAGGATTATATACTCTTGGCTTTTACATTGAATATTCTGCATATAGTAACTGTGTTCATGCAACCCTTCCAGAATTTCAGTTGCACTCAAGAA